ATTAGGCAGTGGTCGGCAAACTCATTAGTCAACAGAGCCAAATATCAACAGTACAACGATTGAAATTTCCTTTGAGAGCCAAATTTTTTAAACTTAAACTATATAGGTAGGTACATTGTTAATAACTTAATTAGGGTACTCCTAAGGCTTAGGAAGAGCCACACTCAAGGGGCCAAAGAGCCGCATGTGCCTCGAGAGCCGCAGTTTGCCGACCACGGAATTAAGGGCCTTGCCGAATTTGACCTATAGAAAGGTCAAAAGAGCCCTTACCGGTTTGTTCTCAGTGGATAGAGCGTCATCCTGCGGACTCAAGGGTGTGCAGAAGGCAGCTGATCGATGTTTCTCTCTCATCGATGTTTCTAACTCTCTATCCCTCTCCCTTCCTCTCTGTAAAAAAATCAATAAAATATATTTTTAAAAAATTTTTTTTAAAAAAAGGTTAAAAGAGATGGGGCAAATACCTATTTGCTGAATGCCTGTGCTTCTTACCATCCACCCTGCGATGACCCTTGGAAGGCCCCAAGGACATGACCTTCTCCCAGCTCAGAAGGTCCTACATACCTCAGCCCCCTTCTGTCCCAGAACCTGGCCCACATGTGGGACTCGGACTCTCTCATGTGCCTGCGGGGTTCCTGTACATACGTATGTGTTACATGTTATTTTCTCTTGTTAATCTGGCTCGGGTCTCTGATTATCAGGCCAGCCAGATGAGCCTTGAGGGTGGAGGGAAGTCTGCTCCTCCCTGACGTGGGGGACAGACGGACACCCGGAGAAGCGGGCACAGAACCGCGGGCGGAGGTGGGAACATCAGTGGCAATGCGGCTCTGAGAGAAAGGGTTATAGGACATCCTCCTCATTTTTTTTTCTTTTTAAGATTATTTCTCTACAATGTGTATACTTTACTCATATGATCAAAGTACAATGAAAGTTTTTAAAAATTAATTATAAACAAGACAGTGCCGATTAGAACTGACTAAGCCTGGCTGGGTTTGGGATGAGTGTGATCTTGGAAAGGAGCGGAGCCCACTGCTAGGCTCAGTGGTTGAGCATCGACCTAGGAACTAGGAGGTCCTGGTCAGGGCACATGCCTGGGTTGTGTACAGGAGGCAGCCAATCAATGATTCTCATCATTGATGTTTCTATCTCTCTCTCCTCCCTTCCTCTCTGAAATCAATAAAAAAAAAATTTTTTTTTTTTAAAGCAGCAGCAGCTGAGCCCTGGGGAGCTAGGGCCAGGGTGAGACGCTAAAGACGACATTCAGGGGCTGAGGGGCTGAGGAAGGGCCCTAGCTGCAGGGTGGGTGTGAGAGCCAGGGAGGGGCCGGGCAGAGAGGGAGAGAAAGGGGTTAGTTCTCATCCCTTTCACTTAGTTGTCCCTTAGCCCTGAGCTGGGGACAGTGGCTCTTCCCTCTGCCCCCACGCTCAGTGGAGGCCTGTGCTGTGCACAGCAAGCCTGGGGCTAGAAGGGACCTTCCGCCAGCCTGAATGGGTTCCTGGGGCCAGGCACCCTGCAGAACTCATCTTCCTAGGAGACAGTGTGGTGGGGTGGGCCCAGGATCTGAGGAATGCCCTGGGGGAAATCTGTGAGGAGGAATTTATTGAGGAAAAAAGGACTACTTGTATGCAAATTTCACAACTTTGTTCTTTTGCTCTTTCCCATGATTCAGCTGGGGTGGGAGTGTAGCAGCAAGAAGGAAATGGTAGCTCTGAAGAAAAGCCCCACTAACCACATTTTATTTTATAAGCCCATTTTCCAAAGCTGGGGTGGGGGGTGGGGAACGGCTCCTACCCAGAAGAGGGGTTGGTGCATTTCTCCTTGCATTCGAGGGTGATGCCTGGAATCGGGGTTCAGTGACGGGGCCCTTTAAGGAAGACCTTGACCCCACTTAAGGGGATAAGGTGCTGAACCGAGGGTCCTTACAAGTTTGATTAAATTTAATTTTGAATCCTAGCGCTAGAAATCATTTCTCTCTCTATATATATACTAGGGGCCCGGTGCACAAAAATTTGTGCACTGGGGAGGGGGTTCCCTCAGCCCAGCTTGCCCCCTATCACATACTGGAAGCCCTAGGGGATGTCCTACTACCTGCTCCCTGCTCCCCTTGGGGAGCGGGCCTAAGCCACAGTCTGGCCTCCCTTTGTGGGAGTCGCCCGGGCTGATCAGGGGAAGGCACCAGCCCCATCACCGCACTGTTGCAGCCACTGCCAGTCACCGCAGCCACCAAGGTGTTTTCATCAACATGGACTCCAGTCCCTTTACCATGAAAAAATGACAGCTTTCTTTAGGCATTTTCAAGAAGTGTCTTTCATAGGATATGACATTTCTTTCTTTCTTTATCCTCACCTGGGGATATGTTTCCATTGATTTTTAGAGAATGTGGAAGAGAAAGGGAAAGACAGAGAGAAACATCAAAGTGAGAGGAACACTTTGATTGGTTGCCGCCTGCATGAGCCCTGACCTGGGCCGGAGCCAGGGAGGAACCTGCAACCTAGGTACATGCCCTTGGTCAGAATTGAACCCAGAATCTGCGTTGGGCAGGCCGAGGCATTATTCACTGAGCCAAACTGGCTAGGACAGGATATGACATTTCTTAACCCTCCAGCAGCAGACCTTCATTTTTTTCTCCAGGAGTGTGGTAAAAAAAACCCTAGATCACTTTTTGGACTCTTATTACCCAAGTTACTAAGAATATTACCAGTGGCATACAGGGAGCTTAACCAATCAGCAGTCAGAAAAGGTGTTTCCTCTGTAGTTCACACCAATTGCTGGTTTGGCCCCTGCCCAGGACTAACGCCTCTGGCGAGTCATTAGCCCTGGGCCAGGGTACCCTCAGCTCCCAGCCGCCGTGGCCATCAAGGATCGCTGGCTGGCTCCTCCCCAGCCCAAGCCTAAAGCCTCTGGCCGAGGCATTAGGCCTGGGCCGGGGCACCCCCAGGTCCCCGCCACCGCGGCCATCAACGATCCGTGGCTGGCTCGGGCCGCCACCACCTTGGAAGATCGCTGGCTGGCTCCTCCCCGGCCCAAGCCTAAAGCCTCAGGCCGAGTTTTTAGGCCTGGGCCGGGGCACCCCCAGCTCGCAGCCGCCGCCACCGTGGAAGATCCCTGGCTGGCTCCTCCCTGGCCCAGGCCTAAAGCCTCTGCTCGAG